GGAAGGGAGTGGAGTTAGTCCTGATAATATCAGAATCCCCTGTGAGAGTTGAAGCTTGTTACTGGATTTGGGCATTCATGGCTTAGGTTTTCCTCTCTGGTCCTCCCTCCCCTCCTCTCTCATGAGCACAAGGTTTCTTGTGTGTTGTCTCGCTGGTTGAATGGGTTCTACCATTTGAAAATGCCTTATGTTTGCCCTGCAACTGCATTATTATCCATTACTTCCCTCATTGGGAATGATTGCCTGGCAGTGTCATCTGGGTGAAAAGAGAAATGCTGTGTCCAGCTGTCCAATGTGGCATGCAGTCTTTGTTGCTCCTGGCTTTGCAGATACCAGTTCTGATGCTATCTGAGGAAAATCTGCACATTATCTAGGAGATAAAATGATCATTATTCTTCATCAGAGTTAGGTCTGCGCATTCTGCTACTTTCTAGCACAAGGACTCCTTGTTTAATGTGTCAGGAGATGTGCACAGAGGCTACTCTAACCTGGACCAAGGTACTCTCTTATTGTTTTTGATGCTGTCTGAAAACAGAAGTTGAAAGGTGCTGGTCTCCTCTATTAAAAGGCAAAAACTCTGGAATTGAGTAAGCACAGTAGGGCAGAGCCCACTTAAGTCATTGTGGTCAGACTTGAATTACTTCCAGTTTGAATCTGAAGTGTTATCCTGCCAGTGAAGTGTTTGAAAAACAGAGGTTGCTGGGCAGGATAAATGTGCCTGAAGACCAGATGTGGCCAGCAGCAGCTCTTCTTTTTTATATGGAAATGAATACCCTTAAAAGTAGAGTGTGCTGGCAGTCCAGACTGTAGTGGAGCGTTATGGGGGATATGTTGTCTTCAAGGGCTTCCTCTCCTTTATAACAGTGGAATATTTTTTGTTTCTTTACTCCATTTGCCTTTCAGCTCCTGGCAATGCGGAGCCCATCCCTCCCTTGGTCAGATTTGATCCTTATCCCCAGTGAGTAGCAACCCCTGTGAGGAAGGAAAAGGAGTCTTGATGTTCCGGTAGCAGAGGTTTGGCCACCTTTCATCTACAGAATTTCATCTTCTTGCAAAAAAATAACGCATTTTGAATTGCTCTCAGGGAGCTCTCAGATACAAACGACTTCTGTCACTGCTTTGTGAACTCATTTCTCCTTTTTCTCTTGTACTTACCTGTAGGTAAAGGGAAATTGATATTGAGCAGTGCTGTGGCCCCAAGCCAGCTGCACCTCCCTGTGCCCTGTGGAGGGAGAAGGGTGTTTTCTCCCTTGTGCCAGGCAAACACTGTGTGAAGCCCTGAGCCAGGCTTTGATGTTTCTCCTGTAGGGGCTGGCTTGCACTTGCAAGTACAGATGTCGTGTGGGAGATGGGGCAGGGAATTTTCAGCCTCTCTCAGCCTTACCTGTCCCATTCTTCATGATGTGGGTTGGAACATGCAGGAGTAACTCTCTTTACTGGATGTTAAGCACTAATAGTTGCCTTCTGCTCCCTAGCTGGAGGGTAGCGATTTGATGTACCTTAACATAATGTGACTGAAGCCATAGAATCACAATCATGTGGAGAAAATCCTTTTAGTGCCTTTTTTTGTATCTAATACAGCAGTTGGAATAAGGACAGCTGTTTGAACACAAGCAATAAACTGACATGAGCCTGACACTGTGTCTGTGTGTGTAACTTAGAAGGTGGTGTAAAGCGATGGAAAGAGGAATCCTCCCTCTCATCCCTGTTTTTTATGGGGGATGATACTGCCTATAGTTTCACCTGGGTTATAGAGCTTTCTTTTTGCCATAGCAAGGTGACAGGCAGATTCTTCAGACTGATTTACAGTCCCCATTTCAGTTGCAGAAACATGAAGCAGTGACTACATGAGTACCAGGTAAAACTGCATATATGAACTGCCCTGAAACAAAGTGCCATCAGCTGCCCTTGAGTACCAGCAGTGAGAGAGCTAGAGCCAACTGAAAGCTCCAAAATGTCAGTTCCTGAACAATGCACAAAGCATGGCATTCAGCAGTGTCTTAGCAAGTGTTTCCTTCTGAATTACTGATCTCTTACACATTGTGTAGTGGAAGCAGTTGACAGGAGAGTGGCCTTTGTGAGACGTGCAAAGTAATCTACTTACAGACAAAGCCTAATGTTAATACCATGCTTGGTGTGGTATTTCAAGACACGAGTGAGCCATTTGGGATTCCCAGATGAGTGGCAAGAATGATCAAAGGTCTGAAAACCAACTTCTCCAGGGAGGGACCAAATGAACTGGTTCTGTAGAGGAAAGGTGACTGGGGAAGGGTGTGAGAAGACTTCAAGTGTGTAAAAGGTTGTCAAGAGGAATGCAATAAATTGGTCCTTAAATCCATCCAGGGGGTAATACATCTGTGTTGCAGCAAGGGAGAATTAAGTCACACTTCTTTTTGAACTGCAAGTACAATAGAAGACTAAATGCATTGCCCTGGAAGGCAGTCCTTAAAAAGAAACGGGACAGACAGCTGCCAGCAGTGGTTTAGGGGGTGCCAATCCTGCCATAGGGCATGGAAATGAATCAGTTACCTCTCCAGACCCAAGTGTAAAGATACCTTGCAGGTCTTAGGGGGTCTGGCCACAATATATAAATGGGTATGGAGCAGACTGCAGAGCCCAGGGTGTAAAACTGCTTTGGAAACTCTCACTATTGCCTGCAGAAACACAAGAGGGAGGTGGAGGTGGTGGTACCTTTGCACTGCGAAGCCAGGGCTGGCACAGCCTTCGCCCTGGAGGAAGGGGCAGGGATGAGCGAAGGCGTTAGTAGGGCAAAGGCTGTGTTGTGTGTTGATCCCGACTCCAGCCAAGGCAGAGGGAAGGCTGGCATGCCCCCTGCACTGTGAGCAAGGCCAGCAGGGATGGAAAAAGTCTCAGTGCCAAGAGAGCAAACGTTTGCTGCCCTTTGTCCTGCTGTCTGGAGAGCAGCGACTGCTGAGCTGGAGACAGCCCAGGACATTCACTCACCTCTGTGCCCAGCTTTGCAGAGCCCTGGGCTGGAAGCAAACTTGAGGATCTTTGGGAGGAAAGGGGGTATTTTCCTCCCATGGTGGGAAATGTCCCACCTTCATGTACAAGCAGCACAGCCAGGAGCAGGCAGCCGTGGAGCCTCCACATCCTGCACAGGGGGTGCTCAAGGAGTCAGCTCTGCTGCTTGGGCCCCCCCGATGCTGAGCAGCATGCCAGGGGCCTCCCTGCCTCTTGGTGGCTGGTCCACGACACAGAGCAGCCTTGTGTCAGAGGCTTATCTGCACTGATCCCCTTGGCGGGGAGCAGCAGCAGCGAGAGCACTGCAGCGGGTCAAGGGGAGCAGTTGTTCCTCTCTTTGAAGCACTTGTGAGCACACATTTGGGGAACCATGTCCTGTCCATGGTGAGAGATGGCAGGCACCAACAGCAGCAGAGGAAATTCCACTGGACATTAGGAAGAGCAGTTTACAGTGAGTATGGTTAGCACAGGAACTGGGCCCCAGAGAGATGGGGATCTTATCCTTGGAGACTTTTCAGGACTGGACAAGACCTTGAGCAGCCTGGTCTAGCTTGAAGCTAGCTTCTTGCTTCGAGCAGGAGTTGAATGAGGTGACCTCCAGACTCCACTTCCAACCTGACCTTTTCCTCCATCTCTGTCTACTCCAAATGCCTGGAATTTTCCTAATGTAGTGTCTGACCTGGACCTCATCTAAAAGCCTCACCAAAACCCTCCATGAATTCCCTTCCTTGGACTTGCCCAAACCAGATTGTTTTATGCAGGATGTGTCCCCACTGTCCACCTTCTGCTTAGTAAAGTCTCCTGGGGAGAAACTTGTGTTCTTGGTTCTTGCATTTCCCAACAGGATAGGATCCTGGTCCACCACGGGGCGTAACAGGGGCTGCGGAAACACAGGGAAGTTTTAATCCCTGTGGAAACCCTGCCTGACTCTTCGCCTTCTCCCTGGCTGCTCATGACCTGTTTCTTTGAGTTGGGGAGGTCCAAGGGCAGCTTCTTCTCACCTTCTCTTGTTGGAGCAGCATTAAACGCTGGTGCATCCCAGCTGGGCCCCAGCTTTGCAGGGAAGACAACCAAGGGGATTTTCTGCCGTCATTTGTTCCAAATTACGGTGGTTTCATGGAGTTCTTTGGCCACTTTCCACCACAACGCTCCAGCTCCCAAACCCCACGCAACCGGGAGGTGGGGCCTGGTGGTGGTAGTGGCCAGGGCACGGTGCATCGCTCTCACAGGACCCGGGTGAAGGGACGGTGCAGACAGCACCCTCTGCTCCTGCTCTGCCCCTCGGTGAGTAGCGTGTCCCACCGGGGACAGCTTCAGTGGGATGGGGGGTGAGAGCAGGGATCAGCTGCTATCCCTAAACCTCCTGAATTTCATCTGCTGCTAAGGAAAGGGAGTCCGGGGCTGGGAGCTGGCGCTGTGCTTTGTGCTGTCACCCCACTGGGAGCAGTGGAGACGGGTGTTTTGCGGTGGTTTTGCCCCCTGGATCGAGCTGGGATGCACAGGGATGGGCACTGGCACTGTGAGTGGCAGAGCTGCAGGAGGGGGATGCTGAGCACAGCTGGGCAGCTCAGCGCATCCCTACCCGCAGCTCCTCTCTCTGCTCCCATCCTGCTGCCTTGCCCCTTCCCAGCCTGCATCTCCCAGCCTCCATGCACATCTATTAGCATTCCGGTTGCTCCAAGCTTGCTTTACAGCAGTGACATTTATCGTGCCTTGTACTGTCACTCCTCCAAACTAGATGCCTCTCAACTAATACTTTGCATCTTTGGGGTGTTAAAACACACGAGCAGGGGAGGGCTGTGTAGAGACATTGGTTTTGCAGCTGAACTGGTAACTTACAAGTCAAGCATTAGGCAATACTGCATCCACTGCACCCATGGGAGATGTCTCAGCCCAGCTCCCAGCCCCGCCATGCTCAGAGGGTGCAGGAGTGAGTGGGGGAAGCCCAAGCCCAGCCCTGCCCTCACAGCAGGGTCTGAGGCTCCCAGCTTTGCTTTGCAGGTGGGTGACTCACGATGACAGCCAAGAAGAATCAGAGTCTGCAGAATGGAAGTGCCAAGGTGGGTGCCGGAAGAGAGGGGAGGGCAGAGGTGCTGGGTAGCACGTACCGACTTGGCCAGATGAGTACAAGTCACATCTCACGCTGTCCCGTGTGTTCATCCCCTTTATATAGACCTTTACCTGCAGTAATATAGAGCATCATCAAAGGGAAAGGACAGAACCTTTCACTCGCTTGAAATGAAATCATTCAGAATCAAGGGAGTTAACACTTGGTGATGCCTGACAGCAGTGCCTGTCCCTCATCTGTGTCCCCAGTGTGGACCCCAAACCTCCAGCAGAGCTGGCTGAGCTTTCTGCTCTGTTTCTGGCCTCCAGGTCGCTGTGTGAGCCAGTGCTCACCTCGGTCCTCCCTTGGGGCTGCAGCATCTCTCTCTGCGGTCTCATCTCACCAAGTGGGAACTCGGTGACAGCAGGAGCAGAGGGTTGGAACCACAGGTTTATCCTGCTCACCCAGCTTCGAGGGACCTACCTCCAGCCATGCTCTGGCACTGGCAGTGCACGTGGCATCCCCCATCACCCGTGCCAGCAGGACGTGGTGCCTTGCTCCCTCGCAGAGCTCTGGTGCCCTCTTCTCACAGCAATGGCTCCTACCAAAGCCCTGTGTGCCCTCAGGGACAGACCCATTCCTCTCCCCTTCTCCTTTTTTGAGGTCCTCTTACTTGTCACAGTGGTGATGACACAGATGGGACAGAGGTGCCACGTAGGCACTGGTCTTTGCTGGTCCAAGAACAGGAGCAAGAGGTGGGTCAGATGGAAGAAGCAGCAGAAAGCCAGAGGGAGCATGAGATGGGGGGACACTACCTGTGGCATCCCTGCTCCTTCAGCAGCAGCAGCCAGCCTGCTTGTCCATGGCTGTGCTGAGACCCTCAATGTGGTTCAAGAAGTGCCCTCCTCCTCCAGCATCCTCTGTGGTCACTGTACCACACCGAATGCCGCCGGTGTGCGGATGATGGGGTGTTCCTCAGGGAACAAGGGCTGTTGGTAACCAGTGCCCATCTGCCACACACAGGAGAACGTGCTGCAGAGGGTGCTGCAGCTGCCCGTGGTGAGCTCAACCTGCCAAAGCCTCCAGCGGACCTACACCACCACCAAGGAGGCCCATCCACTCATGGCCTCTGTGTGCGAGGTCTACGAGCGGGGCGTGCAGGGCGCCAGCGCCTTGGCCATGTGGAGCGTGGAGCCGGTGGTGCGCAGGCTGGAGCCCCAGTGTGAGTGCAGGGGGGACACAGCAGGGATGAGCCCACAGAGCCTCCCGTGGTGGGACTGCGCTGGCACTAGCATGTGCCTGGCACAGCCCCGGTGCTTTCCTCACCAACACACCCCATGCTTTGCCCAAGGCAGTCGCTGTCGCTAACAGCCTGGCTTGCCGGGGCTTGGACCACCTGGAGGAGAAGATCCCTGCCCTCCAGTACCCGGTTGACAAGGTAAGGCACAGGCAGGACAGCCTGGGACCCACCAGCCTCTCTACAAAGCCCACAGCATGTCTCCTCTAGGCTTGTTTCTGGATGGCGATGGGCTGCTGGAGGCAGCACCTCCAAGCAAGGGCTCCTGCAGCACAAGGGAGGGTTGGGGTGCTCCCAAATACAGGTCAACAGCATCTTATGTCTCTCCCTGACTGGAGAGAGCTGTTCTGCCCCTCTCAGGGCTATCTACTGGCATGGCCGTGGCTGAGGTCCCTGTGGTCCCTCCAGCTGTCCCATGCCACCCCAAGCACCCCAGCAGGGCTGTTCTCCATCTCTCCACCCGCAGCTTGCATCTGAACTGAAGGGCACCATCTCCACCCCGCTCCAAAGTGCCAAAAGCACCATTGGCAGCTCCGTGGATAAGATCATGGAGCTGGCAGCAGAGGGCTACGAGGCCACCAAGAGCACGGTGGAGACAACAGCCAAGTACACAAGGAGGAACTCGGTGAGCCAGATGGCAGCCGCTGGGGTCGACACAGCCCTGGGAGGGCTGGAGAAGCTGATGGAGTACCTGCTGCCGGAGGAGGATGAAGAAGCAGGTAGTCCTGATGCCCAAATACCCCCTGAGGCAGGAGGAAGTCCCTGGGCTTTGTCACAGGGCTGCTTAGGAGCGTTGTTCCACCGGGATGTAAACCCCGCACTACTCTTCTGCCTTTAGATCAGAAGCCCAAAGATACACGTGGGTCAGCAGCAAAGGTTTCCCAGCAGCAGCCCAGTGCTCCCAGTGCTCCCAGTGCTCCCAGTGCTCCCAGCACCCTGGGCCGGATCGGTGCCTTGGTTAGCACTGCTTCCCACCGTGCTTACCAGCAAACCACCCATGGCCTCCAGCGTGCCAAAGCCAAAGGGCAGGAGCTGGCCACATGGATCCCCGTTGTGGTGAGTGATGGGTTCCTGCTCCCCTGTACCCTCTTTTGGGCTGATTCTGCTTTCAGATGGGACATTTCAGGCTCCTTGGAGCACATCCTAGAGCAGGGTGGGGAGTGCTGGAGGGCTGCTGTTCAGCAGTGTGAGCCAGTGCCCGCAGTTCCCGCGGTACATTCACACACAACCTTGCGCTGTGTTAGTGGGACAAGTTATTTTTAGCCAGCTCCCAATGTACACTGTTGATTTATGGCCTTGCCATAACATCCTTCCTAAAGCAGAAAGCCCCTGCAGGGACCCAGAGAGATGGGGAGAAGGAGATGCCTCTCCTCTCACACCCAGCGCTGCCATGGGATCCCCTTCCGTGGCCTGTGCCGATATCCCAGCACCCCCAGTTGCCCTCAGGATTTCTTCTCATGTGCAACAGTGATCCCCCTGCTCCCCGTGCACCTCAAGACCCTCCTGAAACCCTCAGGATAAGCAGGATGGGACCTACCAGCTCCCTCTGAGTGGTGGAGTTTTGCTCCTGTTCCAGGGCAACCTGGCCAAACCAAGTGTACCCGAGGCACCACAGGTCCATAGTGATGGGCAGAGCACCACAACTGGCTGGCTGAGCCGGCGGCAAAGCAAGGTGCCAGAGCAGAAGCAGGAGAAGGCGGGGAAGAAAGACAACCACCACACCAAGGAGGTATGGAGAAAGGGGGAGCAGTGAGGTCGAGGTGCCCCAAAGCATCCTCCTGCCCATGGACCATGCCAGCAAGGGGGATGTTCCCATCATGCCTTTGGGACCAGACCCCCATCCCTGCT